GAAGATCAAGGATAAATATATTCTCAAAAAATGCATTAACCCAAACTGTTTAGGGTTCTGCACATAAGAAAGAAATCTTTAACTTTTAAAATCAGAGATGGAACCTAATAAAAAAGTCCCATAGTGTCACATGTACTAAATGGTTAGTTCTCAAAACTAAAAATAATTATTTGTTTAATATTTAAAATAAACGAGTCAACAACAATGACAAAGGGCAAAGATTCTAATGAATTGTAGAGCAAATTATACGAAAGTCACAGAGTGACTTTTTGACAAAGGAGATGAGCATTGCTATCAATTCTTTAGTTTTTTCATTTTAGAAAGTTGAATCAACATGAGCTTGTTTTGGGAACATTGGTCTTAAATGACTTTATTTCTTCTACTTATCAAAATTTGGCATAATACGTGTAAATTACAGTGGTACAAACAATCAGGGAATTTTTTTCTTCATCATTTATAAAGTACTCAGCTTTCAGGAAGAAACTGTGAATCAAGACACATCAGCTGGACCCTGGGCCTTATGGCCTTTACCTGAAAAGTAAGCAAGTCGTACAGAAGTTAAGTTATATTGCGCATGTAAAGTACTTAGCACAAAAATTGTTTAATAGGCTCAATCATTGGAAAATAATAAATTATCTTACTATATGCTTCTGCTTTCTAGTGAATCTCCCCTTTTTATCATTCTCATCTCATAGCTGTCAACCTTAACCTGGTTTAATGTGGTCTCTTTCTCAGGTAGTCTTTGAAAAGTTGGGGTTTAAATTTAAAACAGGATTAAAGAGAAAGATTTCATGGCCTGACAAATTAAAATTGCAACTCTTTTTGGATAGTCAATTACAAATAAAGTATCTCAGCACTTAAATTGGGTGCTCAGTTTAGATTTGATAACCCTAACAGGTAGTCATCCTTTTATAAGATTTTGCAAGTAAAATGTTAAAACAAAAATGTAATACAGTCACCTTGTTTGTATGCACGTTGATCCCAATAAATCAGATTTTCAGATAGAGATTTACCATTAGGGATGATAATGTTAACCTATTAAAACAGAATCACCCACATCACACTGTATATTGCCTTCTGTTTATACTTTTACCAAAAAAGAGTGCTTTCATCTCTGAACATTTTTTCTTTCTCTTTGTAATTCAAGGCATACCTTTGCGTTCCTTTCAACTTCAGGGTTCTTGCTCTTGTTCATCTCCTTTTCCTCCTTCTCTCTGTCCTGTTCTCTCTCTCACAATCTCTCCATGTGTCCCTCCCCCTCCTCCTCATCCTCCAGCCTTTCCTCCAGACTTAACGACTTAATGTTTCTCTAATAAGTAGAGACAAATCTTTGCTCTCCTTTCACTTTTCGGGCTGCACTTCTTGAATGTAAAACATGTAGAAGACTCTCTTATTTTTATCTTGTGCACTGACCTCTGGAATCACTCATCTAAAGTCTACCACCTGGTTAACTGTCGTACCACTTGTGGTTGACTCTTTTTCATGTATTTTAATATTACTAAAGTAAAAAATAAATTTTGACAGAGGATACATGTTTATTCTCTAAAAAAAATACTAACTGAAATTTTCCTTTGTCATCATTTCTTTATTATATGAATTATGTGATTGGTAAAAATGTAATTTTCACACAACTCTTGATTAATTATTATCCATATGAACCACAATTCCTGAGTTTGTTTTTAAAATATATATTCACTATAGCTCAAAAATGCTACCTTTTGTTTATATCAAGTTCAAA